ATGCGCAAGTGTTGGTGCATTTCGGTCCGAGTTCATGTGCATGGAACGCGTTGCTAGGATTTTGGTCCATGAGATTTGTCCCCAAGTGCCGTGTGCTCCATGTGGCGCCTCAGTCAAAGATTCTCCCCTTCATCGTGCATAGTGCCGCGCGGATTAAGGTGTAGTGTAGTGGCATGGATGCTAGTGTTGGACCAAGATTCCTCTTCCATATAGTCCAAACTTCCGTGAGAATCCGTGCCCCTCATTTGTATTTTGTGCATGTGCATGGTGCATTTTGCCTTGAAATTGCCGTGTGCATAAGTGGAGCTTGGCCGGGCTCTCTCCTCCATGTCTTGCATTTTCGCGTGAGGGTGAGACAAATAAAGTGCATGGTTGCCAAGTGCCTTGAGCATTGACCGAGTGTCCCCCTCCCCATCATGTGCGTTCGCTTATAAGTTGGCCTTGGGGGAAGGTTGTCCATTTTTCTCCGCCTTAGTCTCCGATGCCGAGAATGAGAGAGTTATAAGTGAGGCATGGTAAGAATTGTGCGTGAGCTTCCGCCAAGAGCCATCGCACGTCCGAAGCCCTCGCGCATGGGCAGTAGCAACCCGGCGTACCGCACGCAAGTAACCCTCATACGCGAGCCGCGGGTATCGCATGCGTAGCAGCGGCGCACGCGGAGGTCCGAGTTCACGCACACAACGCAACGCACGCGGACGTCACGGCCGAGAGCTCGGTTCCAAGCCATTTAGCCTCTTGAGTTCTATAAGAGGTAAGTCCCCGTCGTCTTATGACCGAGAGTTTTAGCATGTTTATTAAGGCGAGATTTTAAGGTCATGCATGCATGTTTTGAGTAATTATACCCGTAGCCATGCGTTCATGTCTCGTTATAAATTAATTCACCGAATCATGTTATTATTTTCATGAAATTCTCCGGATAATCCTCGCATACTTAGCTTTTATTTGCGAAATCATGTTTTATTGAACTTAAGTATTCGGATGATTTTACTCATGTTAGTAGAAGGTTGGCCGAGAGGGGTGTGGTCGCACACGTAGTGCGCACCACGGCCAACCGAGTACCATTTCATGTTAAGTTATAACCTTCGACCATTATGTATTATTATGTTCAGTAAATCATGTTTAAGTTCAATTATAATTGAATTGCCGAGAGATAATATGGTTCGGTCGAGGAACGGCACCACGCCGTCGGTGGTGCACGGCGTGCCGCCGCGGCCCTAGTTCAAGCTTTTATGTGAATTTTCATGTT